TAAGGAATGTGCCAGAGTTTACATTTTGACAATAAATTTAGATGTTACAAAAATGCTATGTAGATTGAAGAAAAACTATCTGACCTCTGAGACATTAAAGAGGAAGGGCTGGCTGGACTGTGTGGGGAGGAGCAGTACTGACATGGCACTGGGGTCACCCCCGAACTCTGGGACCTGCACCTCCCTGACTGTTTTGAAATGTGTGCTTCTGTGCGTCTGTTTCAGATCCTGGCTCGACAGACAGAACTGCCCAGAAAAGAAAGTTCCCCAGCCCTCCGCATTCCTCCAATGGTCACTCGCCTCAGGACGCGACCTCAAGCCCCATTAAAAAGAAAAAGAAACCTGGCTTACTGAACAGTAGCAATAAGGAGCAGGTAAAGGAGCCACCTGGAGTGGCATCCGCACCAGCGGGACAGAGGCCAGCGAGCAGCATGGCCGCTCCCCGGCGTCCCACGGCTGGTGACTTGGCATGGACGTGGCATGCTGCCTGGTGCTGCCTGGCCTTGGCATAGGACGAGAGGGGCATTAGAAGGGGCCTTGTCAGAGCTTCCAGCAGATTTGGAGATCTGTTCTGGGGACAGAGCAGTGACCCGGAGGAGATGAGGACATTGTTCTTGGGGTGGGAGAGGGGCTTTTCCGTACATTCATCTCCGCGCAGCCTGAGGCCGTTTTCCCCCTCCTGAGCCTCCACAAGCCTGTTTGTCTGGAGGTCCGCTGCTTGGCTGAGGCCTACTCCCCGCTGGTCTCCTTTTCTCATCTGTAAAATGAAGGGCTTGGGCCTGGCGAGCAGCGTAGCTGATGTGGACGCCCGGCAGGGTCACCGTCTCTTTATTCTTGTGGGTGCCCAGCCCCCTCCATACAGGAGATCCCATCACTCTCTTGGATGTTGTCTTAGGGACCATCTAGCTAGGTGGATGCAGGTTAGGTGTCTTCTGATTAGGACAGACCGAGCGACATCCATGTGACCTTGCTGGTGGCGTGTGTCTGGCCCTCCACAGAGCAGCTCCCCTAGCACCGTCCCTAGGCAGGGGTTTCTGGGAAAGTACCCTTCTGTCTCATGCCGTATGAGACTTGGAACGGCCCCGGGGCGTGGAGTTGGAGCTGAGCAGGACGGATGCTTTCCCTGGAAGAAGCCTAGCAATGGTTAACGGCTTGGCAACTGAGAGACGTGCAGGTTTCTGAGCACCAGGCTATTTTCACTCTCAAAATTATATAGCCAAATGCCAGCTCTGCCTCTTGCTTTGCGGCTGCGGGCAAATTAACCTCTCTGTATCTCGCTGTTGAAATGGGGAGCAGGGTTGCGCTCACTGTTCACTCTGCAGTCTGTTGTGAGAAGTGCTGGAGCCAAAGGACACACACAGTAATAATGTTAAAAACTAGGGTAAGGGCCGGCCTGATAGCTGAGTGGACTAAAGCGCCTGACCTTGGCGTGCTACGTGGGCCCCGCCCCTGGGGACACACTGAGACAGCAGTTGAGACTGGGCGTGGCTTGTAATGCCAGTGCTTGGGAGGCTGAAAACAGGAGAATCACTACGAGTCCATCCGATCTACGTAGTGAGACCCTGTAGACCCTGCTCTAAGCATAGAAAACAAGACAAAACAAAAACTAGGGCTGGGTCTTAAGTGCCTGCCTGACTAGTGCAAGGACCCAGGTTTGATCCCTGGTACCTCGTGTCGTGCTGGCCCTGGAACCTCAGGCGTACAGTGCCAGCCTGAAACAGAAACTGGGGGTTGTGGTGGTGCACACCTGGAATCCCAGTGCTGGGGGGCTGAGACAGGAGGATCACTGTGAGTCTGAGCGGAGTAGTGAGACCCTGTTTTAAAAAAACCCGGAAAACAACAACAAAAAACCAGACCCGAAAACAAAGCCACTCTTTGCTAAGTAGATTAACCGTACAATCTATACATGAAATACACAATATCTGTAAGAGTGTTGCAGACCCTACGGTAGCCATAAGCCCTGTGCGGGCTCTTGAGTACTTGGGCGTGGTGAGTGAGAGTAAGGGGCTAAGTTTTCAGTTCATTTAACTTAACGGTAAGTGCCCACCCCCGGCTCCGAGGTGCCAGCTGGATGGCTTCTAGAGCCAGCTAGGCGGCACCATTACGGGGAGGGAATTGGTAAGTCCTGAAGATATTTTGAGGGAGCTACAATTTGAAGAAAAGGATAAAGGTAATAATTCCAAAAGTTAGCTGGGCCTGGTGGTGCAGATTTGTAGATTGCAGTACCAGCCGTCTGGGAGGCTGAGACAGAGGATCTTGAGTTTAAGCCCAATCTGGGCCAATTAGGCGCTTTATCTCAAAATAAAATTAAGAAAAGAAAAGGCTGGGGATGTAGTTCAGTGTGAAAGCCCTGGGTCCAACTCCCAAAGGAACAATCCCCAAAGGATTTACTGTCTTGTCTACTGTTGTAAACATATTCGTGTTAATCTTAATGTCAGTGGCAACCCCATGAAGAAGGGCTACAATCACCCCCAGTTTGCGGATGGAAACGTTGAGGTTCATGGAGGTTACCTTTCTTCCTCAAGGTCTCAGAGCAGGTGAGAAGCTGCACTTGAGGTTAGATCTGCCTGTCTGGGTTGAGGCTGGTGACAACCGCCCTCTGTGACCCAGGAGCCCCCTCATAGCTGTAAGGCCTGAGGACTAAAAAAGAACCACGCCAGCCACAGATAACCCTCAGAGTATAACCAGTAATTCAACTTCCTTGGCCACAGTGTCCTCATAGTTACCAGGAGGTTGGCAGAGCAGACAAGTGACATACAGCCTCTACTCAGCCTCCTTCCCCTGCTCGTCCCTACCCGGTCTCTAGAAACCTGCTCCTGTCTCTTCTTCTGGTCGCTAAGAGATGTGGGCTCGCATTTTCTCCCTCCCTGTTCGTGTGCTAATACCTGTTCTGTGACACTTAAGCCTTGTGCTGTGTGTGTCAGTCTCTGTCCTCTAAGTGCCCTCACCCCTTAGGTCGGTGGCCAGCATCCAGTGTGGCCGCCTCCCTGGTGTGACTCTGGGCAGGCATTAGGGATGCAGGGGAGCACTGAGGGCGTGAGACCCAGCAGGGCAGAGGTGGGAGGGCGCAGGCCCAAGCATGCCCTTGGGTGACAGGTTGGCCTGCTCTATTCCCAAGAGAGGGACTGGGCTCTGCCTGGACACGTGACTCACGGTTGCCCCTGGTAGCCGGAGACTCTGTGTGACCTTGTGGGTTACTTGCTTTTGAGCTTCAGTTATGTCAAAATATAGGGGTTTAGACTGGGAACGTTGTGAGGTTGATTATAGGGTTTGCTACTTGGGACTCAAACTCCAGGGCACCATGGGCAGGAAACTTGTTTGTTGGCAGAGACCGAATAGCCTGAACTGGGAAGGGTGACATTCCTGACCCCTGACCCCTCATTCCTGCTGACTTGTGTGCAGGGTCCGGCAGTGTCCTTCGGCACTGTTTTCCTCAAGGGGAACATAAATACTTAAAATTATGCTGGCTGTCTTTCTTTCTCTTTCCTCAGACATTATATTTGGCTAGCATAATTTCTGTTAGTCCCCAACACTTGAGGGCTAGGAGATTTCCAATTAAAATGTGAATTTTTAAGTTTCCTTCGCCCTTCCCTCTGGTGCTCTCCTCTCCCCCACTTTTCCATGATGGGAATGCTGGGAATGGAACCCAGGGCTTTGCCATACTGGGCCTGCAAGGGCTCTACCACGTGGGATATCTCAGGATGCTCTCATGGGGCTTTCATAGGGGACCACAGTAAGTCCTGTGTGCAGCGCCCCTGGAGATGGGCTCTGAGCCCTGCCCTTTCCCTGCTGCCCACCCAAGCAGCCCTTTCTCCAGGGCTGGGTGGATTATGCTCGCTTTGGAAGGACTCTGTACTCTCCTATGGCACCTGCATAGAAATCCAGTTTGGTTTTCTTTTTTCCTTCCCAGACCCTAGGCACAGTCCCAGACCAGCTGTATAGTGCTTTCTGGAGATCAGATATCGGCAAGCTGAAGTCTGTGGTCCAACACTCCCCCCCCCCCCTTTTTTTTCCTCCCTTGTTTAAAGTACTGGGGATTGAATGCAGGGCCTTCACACTGAGCTATATTACTTTCTTTTCTTTTTTTTTTTTTGGTGGAACTGGGGATTGAATTCAGGCCCTTGCGCTTGCCAGGCAAGTGCTTATTCTACTGAGCCATCTCCCAAGCCCCTCTTTTTCTTTTCTGAGATGGAGTCTTGCTGTGTTGTCCAGGTGAAGGCTTGCCTTTGTAATCCTCCTGCCTCAGCCTCTGAATGTGCTGGGATTTGTCATGGAGGGCCTGTTGTTATAAATGAAATGTTATTGGCACACAGCTACACTTATTTATTTTTATATTGTTCCTGTTTTTGTCTGTTTTTAGCTTTTTTTGTGTGTGTGAGACAGGGTCTTGCTATGTAGTTCAGGCTGTCCTTGAACTCACTGTGTAGCCCAAGCTGGCTGTATACTGGGGCCAATTCTCTGGCTTTAGCCTTCTAAGCGCTGGAATTACAAGGATGTACCACCATGACTGGCATCTATTTATTATTGTTTTTATTTTTGTTTTTTATATAGGGTCTTGCTACATAGCTCTGACTTGTAGCAATCCTCTGTCTCAGCCTCCCCAGTGCTGGATTGCAGGCGTGCTCCACCACGCCTATGCCTGGTCTCAGGGCTGGCATGATGTACCCAGGGTTCCGGGGCTGGCAAGGCACGCGTTTCCAGGGATCAAACTTGGGACCTTGTGCTTGCCAGGCAGATGCCTAAACTATTGACCTACTTTCCCAGCCCTATTTTTTTTTTTTTTTTTTTTTTTTGCGGAACCAGGGAGGATTGAACTCAGCCCTTGCACTTGCCGGGAAAACGCTTATTCCACTGAGCCATCTCCCCGGCCCTTCCCAGCCCTATTGATTATTCTTATAGAACCCTTTATAGAAAAAGCTTGCTGGCTCCTTCTGCCTACTCAGACAGTCTGGAAGTAAATGAACAGGCTGTTTCCATGTTCTTGTTACCCCAACCCATGTGGCAGGAACAAGGGACTAAGAACATCTGCTTTCCTAGCTCGCAGTTATCCCTGAGTAACGTGGGTTGCAACCCTCCCACTTCTGTCAGGTCAGTCAGGGACCTTATACATGTGGGGGAGACACAGCATCGTATCATTTTACCTGATATTACTTGCTTTTTCTTTTTTTCTTTTCTTTTTGGCGGAACCGGGGATTGAACTCAGGCCCTTGAGTTTTCCAGGCAAGCGCTTATTCTACTGAGCCATCTCCCCGGCCCCATGTTCCATATTTCTTATCAGATTATTATTATTTTTTTAAAAATTTATTTATGTGTGTGTGTGACCAGCTCAGCCCACCAGGGGGTGGGGCTGGCTGGCATGTGGTGCTGGGGGATTGAACCGCGGTCCCTGTGCTTTAGCTAAGCTTGTTCTAAGTAGGTGCTTTAGACCACTGAGCCATCTCACCAGCCCCATCAGATTATTTTTTGTGGTGCAGGAAACAAGCAGCATTGTAAGGAAAGTATCGGATAGATGGGGACAGGGAGCAGGCAGACAGCCCCAGCGCTGCCCCTGCCTCAGAGAGAGGACTGGAAGTCCCTGGTGTCTAGGGTACCCAGCCCCAGCGGGAAAGCGGGAGAACCGAATAGCACCTGAAACTTCATTCTAAAGATCACTAAGCTCTCTCTGTTCAGTCCCCAGCACCAAACCAAATAAAATAAAAAGCACAAAGCCAAGCCCAAGGCCCCCCAGTGTTTCTTTTGTGTTGTGGACTTGGTACTGGTTAGGGAGATTAGCTGCCATTTTTTTTCCCCCTTCATTTATGCATTTGGTATAGAGGCTCACTACACAGCTTGGATTTACAGGGATCCTCCTGTTTTCAGTCTCCCCAGAGCTGGGATTGCAGGTGTGTGCCCCTACGTCTGGGCTTGGTTGCTGGCTCAGTGCACCTGGAGGCAGGGCTGGCACGCCATGTGGTGCCTGGGATTGCACCCCGGCCCTGCGCTTGCGTAAGCGCACTAAGGTACTTAGTCCTCTAAGCTGTCTTGCTGTCCCAAGCTGTCATATTTGAATTTTAGTTTCATTTAGATCTTAAGGATTGACTCTGATGTTTTGATTTCTTTGACTTTTAGTCTTTTTGACAGAGAGAGAGAGAGAGAGAGAGAGCGCGCGCGCGTGCGTGAGAGAGAGAGTATGTCATTTTATGCAGTTCAGGCTGGCCTTGAATTCACTTTGTAACCTAGGTTGGCCATAAGCTCTTTGGGGTTCCTCCTGCCTCAGCCTCAGCTGGGATGACAGGCCTCTGCCACCCCACTGGACCCTGACTAATTATTAACTCATAGGGGAGAAGTAGGGCATTACACATGTGACTTCTCAGGGGTTCTCCTTTTCCTTCCTCCCAGACAGGGAAAAAAGAAACAAAACAAAAAGATCTCTTGGGGCCGGGGAGATAGCTCAGTAGGATAAGCGCTTGACTGGCAAACACAGGGATCTGAGTTCAATCCCCGGTTCCGCCAAAAAGTTGACCTCAAACTTGCAATCCTCCTGCCCAAGCCCCCATTTGGTGGGATTACAAGTGTGTGCTACGGTGCCTGGCTTCCCCACCTCCCTGTCTTGCCCTATAAGTGTTAGGAAATGTTTGTCTTGGCAGACATTGACCTGGGGCCAGTTCGGCCCTCAGGGTGCCCCCACACATCAGGGCAGAGGAAGCCACTCATTGGCCTCTTTGAAGGTTTCTAGTAGGTCTTTTTTTTTTTTTAATGTATTTTACGGATTTTATTTCCTCTCAAGATTTAAAAATAATTTTTTTTAAAAATAAATTTAGGACAGGGTCTACAGGGTCTCACTACGTAGTAGTGATTCTCCTGTTTTCACCCAAGACCTGGGTTTACAGGTGTGTGCCACCAAGGCCAGTCTTAATTGCCATTTTGGTGTGCCCCCAGGTGGCCGGTGTAGCACAGCATTCAGGGGATTGAACCCTGTTGATTGCACTCTGCCAAAGCCAGCACTTTAGTCCACTGAGCTATCTGGCCCGCCCAAGAATTTGTATTAAGTGGAATTTGCTTTGGGTTACCAAAGAGTGTTCTCTCAGAGGTCCTAAAATATTAGAGTCCTTTCTGCTGTGAGGGACATCTTGGGTGGAGTGCAGGGAGCAGAGCTCCCTGGGAGGCCAGGGCTGAGTTCTGGCTCCTGACTCAGAGATCAGATAAGTCTTTTTTTTTTTTTTTTTTTTTGGTGGAACTGGGGATTGAACTCAGACCCTTGCGCTTGCCAGGGAAGTGCTTATTCTACTGAGCTATCTCCCTGGCCCCTAGATAAGTCTTTAACTGAGGGTTCCCCCCACCCCCAATCTGTGAAGCAGAGCTAGTAAACTTCCTGGGTGGTTGTCAGGATAAAGCAAAGATGGTTTGTGTGACAGTATGTTGAAAAGTGTACCACGTAATGTCTACAATAACAGTGATGTTGTTACCTGGAAATCAGATAGACTGCTGTGTCTTAAAAGTTGAACTGGGGGCCAGGGAGATGGCTCAGTAGAATAAGCGCTTCCCTGGCAAGCGCAAGGGTCTGAGTTCAATCCCCGGTTCCGGGGGGAAAAAAAAAAAAAAAAGTTGAACTGAAACAGGCAAATAATATTGGGTTAAAGAATGAAACAGTCACACTTACGGGACTTAGCTGCCTACTTAGTCAAATGAAAATGGGAAGGCTTAGAAAGACCATCGCAAAGGTCTGCTAAATAAGCATCAGTGAGGCTCTTTGTTGAGAAGCGTAGCAATTCCAGGCATCCTGAGGACATTAATTTAAAAATCTGATAATAAAAGGCAAGAACAGGATGTGACTGTCAATATCCTGTAGCGTTTGTGACTCTCAATATCCTGGAAGTCCTAGCCATTAAAATAAGGAAAATGGGACCCCCAGCACTGCAAAACAACAATGAGAAAAATCACAGCTTGACAGTATAGAAGTATTAGACATGAACAGATAAGACTGATGTTATTGAGAAGCGTTATTTTTTTCAGTCAATAAACTATATGTAAGCTCATTGTTAAAAATCAAATAGGCCGGCTAGCGAGAAAGCTCAGCAGACTAAGTGCTTGCTTAGGCAAGCTCAGGGACCAAGGTTCGATCCCCAGCACCACGAGGGGGACTGCTGGCCCCTCCCTGGGATGCTCTGTGCCTGCCTTTGAGATCGGGCATGGTGGCGCAGGTCTGTAATCCCAGAGCCAGGGTGGCTGAGACAGGAGGATCACTACAAATCCGAGCTGCGTAGTGAGACCCTGTACCAGTTTGTATGTTCTCCTATTAGCTACTTTGGAAATGTAATGGGAGACGATCCATGTGTGTATCAACTGAATTGTGCAATATTTAACCTTATATGAGATCTTTATGGATGAAGCCGTAATGGTGCTGAAGGATGGAACAGAAACGTGTTATACAATGGTGTGTACTCTGCAGTAGGTAACGGGTGTGGTTAGACTGCTACACCTGGTTGTAGAGCCATGGGATTGAAGCTCAAAGTAGATTGTGCAGTTTTCCTATGATGTATGTACGTATGTATGTATTTGGTACAGGGTCCCACCTACACAGCTCGGACTTGTCGTGATCCTCCTGTTTTCAGCCTCCGCAGTGCTGGGGTTACAGGCATGTGCCCCCACGCCTGTCTTGGTGCTCAGCACACCTGGGGGTGGGGCCAGCATGGCATGTGGTGCCGGGGATCAAACCCCAGGCTCTGGTTTGCCTAAGTACACCAGTGTGCCTAGTCCCCTGATCACACCAGCCAGCTGGAGCCGAGTTCTGAAGGTCACTCAGCCACTTCGCAGGCTGGTCTGTCGCAGCTGCGCATTGGTCTTTCTCTTGCTTCCCAAACTGCATTTCCTATTGGTGTCCGAAGGACCTTTTCCTAATGTTTCTTCTCGTGGATCTTTTCCTAATGTGTTTCTTCTGAGTGACGTTCTGTGTTTGCAGCATAGCATTGGTGTATTCTAGAACCTCTCAGTAGAGAAAGATTTCTCCTGATGTTTTGGGACGGGTGGAAGTTTGGCTCCAGTGTGATCCTTCTGCTGTCGGTGCTAGTGAAGGGATGTGGTTCCCTGGCAAATATGGGCACCTGTCATGTAGAGAGGCGCGGCTTTCCGAAGCTTCTTATGGGCTCCTAATAAGTATTGTATCATCAGGTGTAGACTTGAATGAGCATATGTTGTTGGTGACTTTAGTCCAGTTGTTCTATCTTCCAAGTGGCTACTGTCTAAAATTCACAGGGCCAATTACCGTACTTCTGTTGGACCTCCATACGGTGTATTCTTTTTTTTTTTCTTCAGTACCAGAGATTGAACCCAGGACCTTGCACTTGCCAGGCAAGCGCTTATTCTACTGAGCCATCTCCCCGGCTCCATACAGTGTATTCTTAACTGTATTAGTAGTGTTAACTGTATTAAATGCATGCATTATATCATCCCAGTTAATCTTTACACAATACCATGAAGTTGGGCACTGCTGTCTCCATTTTACAGATGAGAAAATTGAGGCTGAAAGGAGATGAGATATTTCCAAGGTCCTGCAGCTGATTAATAGTAGAGTTCAAATTTGTCCCCAGGGATTATACTAGGGCTGCCTCATACCTCTTAGATATTAGCTTTCCATCTACGGTCTTTAAAATAAAAGAAGGAACAAAAAAAACATAGTAGCTGATGATGTACCGATGGTGTATTTAGTAGAGAAACCCAAGCTAGCCTGGCTTTTTCGTGGATTTGTGAAATGCTGTAGTTTTCTCGTGTTGTGATTGATGTACTTGTAAATACCTGTTGAGAATGCACATTTGTTTTGAAACCGAACCTGTCTTTCTTGCCTACATTTCAGTCAGAACTAAGACATGGTCCGTTTTACTATATGAAGCAGCCACTCACCACAGACCCTGTTGATGTTGTACCGCAGGATGGACGGAATGATTTCTACTGCTGGGTTTGTCACCGGGAAGGCCAAGTCCTTTGCTGTGAGCTCTGTCCCCGGGTTTATCACGCTAAGTGTCTGAGACTGACATCGGAACCAGAGGGGGACTGGTTTTGTCCTGAATGTGAGGTTAGTTCCTGATGAATGAATGCATTACCTGCTTCGTTTCTTCTCCTTTTACTTTCTTCCTTTCACTTTTAAATTTTCAACTAATCCAGATAGAGGGAAAAGACAAACTTCTTGCCTTCCACCTTCTGGCCGCCCCTTGTTTGGGCCAGTTTCAGCGCCAGCCACAGCCCCGCTGCTCTGCGAAGACAACTGAGTGCCGCGTGCCTTGGCTTTGGTTCCTCTTGAGTCTGGACAGCTGTGAGGTCTGCGGTCATCTCTGTTTCCTCTGCAGCGAGTATCTTGGAAGTTTATGCGTTACAGTGGGACCTCGTTTTGTTTTGTTTAGCGGAACCTGGGATTGAACTCAGGCCCTTGCGCTTGCCAGGGAAGCGCTTATTCTACTGAGCCTTCTCCCTGGCCCCCTGGACCTGGTACTGAAAAGATGTCGCAGTGTTTCTCCCTTTCCTGGATGTCGTGTCTTCTGCATCGCAGTCCTCCTCCTCCTCCTCCTCATTAGCAGCAGCCAAGCAGGAAGACCACTGCAGCTGTGGGCTCAGCGTGGTGGCTGCCTGGTGCTCTCTTTCATGCAGCCGATGTTCCTTGAGTGCCTGTGAGGTGTGGGCATTTGGCAGAGCCCCGGGAGAGGCACACATCACATTTTTCTGAGAAGAAAAGAAGCAGCAGTCACCATGAAGTAGTTACTTGTGATGAGTTGGAAGGAAAATGCTCTGGAGAAAATGAGTTGAAGATGGGCAGTGGGAAGTGGAGGATGGAGGGGGTGTTCCCTTTTTAATGCCTAGGTCTAGGGCGCCTGACTGAGATAGGAGAAGGACCTGTAGGGGTAGACAGCGAGCCCTATTGACACCTGGGGAGCCCGACTGGGCAGAGGGCCTCAGGGGCAGGATGATGGCACAGTGAAGGCGGCGGGCGGCAGCATAGTTCTTCCTTTGTACAGAGCCCTGGCCCCTCTTTAGCCAGTCATTAGGGTTCCACTGTTCTGAGGTGGCTTCCGGGCCCGGTAGCTCCCAACCAGGATGCTGAAAACAAGAAAGTCACCTATGAAACCCCTTAACGTAGAATACATTTTGGATTTCAGAGTGCATTGATCTTTGATCTCAAAAGAATTTTTCTCTGTATGAAAGAGGATAGCTCAGATGTCTTTAATGGAAAATAAATCCAATTTGTAGGATATTATCTGAGGTGCCCCTTGCGTGTAGGGAGGAAAAAAAAAAATAACGTGCAAAGAAATTGGACGCCGTGTCAGTCTGATGAGGTTCTACCTCTGAAGCGGCAAAAGACGGCTTGCTGGGTCTCTTGGGCCCATGCTTAGTGGAGATGTGTGGCACAAGCTTGGGTCAGCGGTGTGCATCTCTGTCCTTGGAGCTCGAGCTCATTTAGGTACAAGTAGCGTGGCCCCTGGAATTTTCACCGATTTTGCTTTGTCTTAAGGAGCTCCTCCCAGCTGTGTAATGAAATTGCAGAAGAGATACTTCCAGCAAGTGATGGTCCCTGCTGAAGGATGGCTGAACCAATAGAGGGGGGCATTATTGTGTGCAGGAAGAGCTCCAAGGCAGGGCATTCTGGGCCATGCTCATTCCATCTCATATCCTTCTGCGGCCCAAAGATGCCTGCTGGCATTTCTGGTTTCATGTGGACAACCAAAAGCGCCCTTAGGAAAGATACCTCTTATTAAGCAGGAGTTTACCTATCATCCTTTAGCTGGTTTGTCTGGAGGCTTGAGCTTTACCCATCATTCATTATCTAGCTGGTCTATTTATTAGGCTTATTGCTCAGCTTGGCTCGCCAGTTCCCGTGCAGCACGGGGGCTGGCACAAGGCTTTCTAGTCTAGCTCTGTCTGGGATGGGAGAACCAGGCACTGCCAACAAGGAAGAGAGAATGGCAGCTGGGCAGCAACCCATGTGCCCTCCCCAGATGGCACCTGGGAACAAAGCGGAATCCAAACCAGCAAGTGTCTTAAGACTTAGGGCCCAGGGTTTCTTCCCCAGAAGAATTGGTAAGGCTGACAGCTGGGCCTGCTAGCTGCTTCAGGCTTCCGTCACCAAGCAATTAGATACGTGTGTCATACCCTGTTTCCAGCTTCTGAGTGACTCCCGCGTGGCCCTTTTCCTCGACAACTGACCAGACACATCTGAGAGTTCCTTTTGGAGGCCCCAGAAAGGTGAAGAATGGAAACTTAATCCCAATTAATTGAAGAAAAGATCTCCTTCACTCTCCCTTCCCAGATGGTTGGAATGTTTCCTGACATCAGCAGGATTTGCTATTTTTACTTTTGCTGCTACAGAGCTCTTCTGAATCCCTGAGACAGATCCAGATTTACATAGCAGAATCCGGTTTCAGCCATTTCTCTCTGCATTGGAATTTCCTTTATAAAATGACATTTACTGACCGTAGGGATAGGCGGCTAGGGTATGTGCCTGTGGAAGTTTGCCAGGATGTCCTGATATGCTTACATCTATGAAAAATGATGGAGAATGGACTCCTATTTATTATTAGTGCACACCAATCCCTGCATTCCTTCTGTAGAAACTCTGTCCCCTTTCACCAGCAATGTCATTGAGATGGCCTTGCCAGTCATAGCTCAGAGCCTTAAGAGGATCAAGATAAGCAGTTGATGAGTTTTCATCCTGTGGTGAGATCACCTTGAAGCCAGCAGTGGCCTTTCCTTTCATGGTCTGCTCTTGAGCCCCAAAGGTTGTAACAATGCCTTTCTTCCTGGTCCCAATCTACCCACACCTTTCTCAGATCATGTGATCTCCATGAGTTAGAAACACTTCCCAACAAGATAATAAGTGGATCGGTGTGCATTGTAATTTTTACCTACAGGTCCAGTAGTGAGTACACTTTGTTCTAGTGGACTGGAGTCCTTGCCAAACCAGTGAATTTTTTTTCCATTTAGATGGGAATTATTTTTTTAGGTGTAACCAAAATAGAAGGAGAATAAATACGTTGGCTGTAATCTCTTTTCTCTAACTGGACGCGTGTGTGTGGTTTTGACTTGTAGAAGATTACAGTAGCAGAATGCATCGAGACCCAGAGCAAAGCCATGACCATGCTGACCATTGAGCAACTGTCCTACCTGCTCAAGTTTGCCATTCAGAAGATGAAGCAGCCAGGGGTAAGAAGTTCCTGCCGGTGTAAGCATGAATGAAGAGAGTGGCTTCTGTTTTGTATGATTAGCACCTTACATATTCCTTGTAGGCTTTGCTTTGCAGACATCTGTGCATACTCATGGCAACTTCTTATGTCCAAATTAAAGGAAAGAAAATGTATAATTTAAACATGAGGCATAATGGTGCTCAGTGAATTCTGAGTGGTAAGCCCTCTGTTCCAGCTGAACAAAAAAAGAGTGAGGAAGTAACGTACAGTAGACAGTTGGTGTGCACTTAAGACTCACGTTGGTCATGAGGTGAAACTTCGCACTCCACAGGGCAGGCAGGAGTAGGATGCATTAGTGACATTCCATTTCCAGGACTACTGGGTGCCACCTAGTTTATTTATAACTGCGATCTGGTCATGGGACCTTCAAAGAAAATTCAACCAGAGAGGGCTTGCGAGATAGCTCAGCAGTCTAAAGTGCCTCCTTAGGCAAGCTTAAGCAGGTGCAGTGGACTTTGGTTGGATCCTGGGCACCACATGCCATGCCAGCCCCGCCCTCAGGGTGGGCTGAGTCAGCAAAAAACAATAAAAGAAAAAAAAATTCAGTGCCATTTACAGAAAGGTTAGTTGCTTCAGTTTTGAAATGCGATCGATGCATGCATACCCTCTTGATCCCTTTGGGAAAATCTGTGAAAGTGGTGCCCATCATTTCAGCTGACAAGTGGTGCATTGCCCACGGCTGTCCCACCTAAGCGACCCAGGCTGACCATAACGATTGTGGCTTGTGCATTATGATAGCTTGTAGGAAAATGACAGTATAATTGATGTGCTCTTTGGCCTATAGATGAATGTAAAATATTGAG